GAGGGCTGGAGTTATGGAGAACATCAAAAAAGGCAAAGCCTTTGCTTTCTTGGATCCTGAGTTCATATAACTGAGCAGACAACGAACAAGTAAATATTAAAGGAAAATATGACAACAGAGTGATATGTACACAACAAAAACACTTATGTGATTCATGGAGAAGGACTGTGAGGGAATTAATTTAGATGAGCTTCTCAGGGAAGGCCTCTTCAAGGAGGTAACATTTATATTGAGACTTGAACAATAAGATGAGCTAGTTATTTGTTAAAGGTGTTTCAACAATTTGTCTCTAACATATGAAAAAGATAAATCACCTAATTTCTGCCACAGAAATAAGTGTAGGAGAATACATTCAATAAAGGAGTGCTTTTGAAATATCAGCTAACTGAATTAATGTTATATACATGGTATGAGATTATTGCAAGAGCTTTCAAAGATTACACAAATAAAATTTCTCCTACCATTTTATATCTTCAGGAGTCTTTATATTTAACATTATTTAAACACATTGAAAAGAAAATCTGGGGTATAAAATGGATAAAGCATAATATGGACTTAATTAATTATGAATATAAAATAATTTTAAATTTCCTAACCATTGCATTTTACTTTCTTTCTCTATTTTTAAACAAGAAGACATTTGTATAAGTTTCCTAGTCTCTGAATATGTGATCTATCCTTCACTTTTATAAGTCCCTGAGTTCCCAGACTTGTGTTAGCTGAAATCATTGCTCTTAATTATATATATTAGTATCTCAAATTATGCAATACTTTCATTAAAATAAGCCTTCTGGATAATGACATATTTTAAGTTAAAAACCTTGGCTCAAGATACTGTAGTTGTTGACTCAAAATTGAATATATGATTAGCAATTGCCTGTTATGTATATGTGTATGCATTCATGTATTTTTACCTTTTGTCACAAAATAAATATCCAGCTTTCTTTCTGATACTCTTTCTGAGTATCCTAGTTCACTTATTTGACATTTATTGTGTCAGTCCTTTAAAATCTATGTGTCAAGCAATTTCTAGACACTAAGAGTACAACAGTGACCAAAACATAACTTTGCATAAGTTTATGCCTCATCTCCTAAGTGAAATACAGCTTTTGAAGGGTGGAATGATATATGATATGTCTTACTACTGTTTTTTTAGATATTTCTTGTGATCTATCACTACGACTTGAATATAGCAGGTATGCAGTACTCAGATTTGATGAGGAGAAAGATATATTTCCCATCGTTCTTATCGAATTTTTCCTCCAAAAGACATGTCTGGATTTTTTAGACACAAGTTTTATTTTACTAATGCTTTTGTTATCTCTCTTCCATATCTTTCCTTACTTTCCTAACTTTCCTATTCTATTCATTTTCTTTCCTTCAAATAAAGTCTTAACTCAGTATGACATTAAATTTAGACTTTTGCATGATCCTGATATCAAATAAGCAAAGCTGAACAGCAGGAAATCAAATGGAGAAGCACTGTTTTCACATTTATAAGGTGTTAAGTGTCTCTGCATTTCATGTTTCCATTTCTAGGATCTCTACTTTTATTAAGTAGCCATCATTCTTACTCTGGTTTTCATTCATAATTGCATTAAAGAAGATTTTTCACTCAGTAAATATTTCATGAGTTCCTACTACATGCTGGTCTCTAGAGACACAAGAATATTAAGACACAATTTCTATCCTCAAGAAGCTCATAGTCCTGAAGTAAATAATAAACTAACAAATGATAAATACTGTGATAGAGATAGAGTGGCCAGGGAGAATTTATGAAAAGGTAAGGCCTGGTAAGAGTGCTTACTGGAAAGTAGTACATTAAAATAGAAAGGATTGAAGATAAAAAGGGTAGCATGAAGAAAAGCAAAGAGGCAATCAACAGCATTCCTTTCTTCAGGAAATTATCAACAATACCCTATTGATGAAACATTCGTGTGAAGAAATGAAGATGAAGGCATGCCATGAAGAATCTATGCCATGTTAAGGAGCTTGTGCTTTTTCCCGCAGGGGCTGGTAGGTCATGGGTAGGTTCTAAGAGAATGACATCGTCAAATTTGAGTTTTATATCAATCAACATGGAGCTCTGTGATGGGATGCATTTAAGCTACTAGAGATTAAAGCCAGGGAGAAAAGTTGAACATGCACTTTGGATGTCAAGGTAAAAGATGCTGAGAGCCTGAACTATGGCATCTGAATATACAAGGAAAAATCTGGTCATAATTTAGTGATATAATGTTTGTGCAAATTGATGAAATGGGAGGTTTGTCTGTGGACTCAGGTAAAAACGAAAAGTGAATATTTTTCTACACAAGATCAGTGTAAATTACATTGCAGCCAGAGGAAAGATAGTTAATAAAACACACACAATACAGAAAAATTTCTGGTTATCCTCATTTTATATTACATTGAGAATTTTCAGCACAGAGGAATACTTCTCATTTAAGGGTACAATTTCTTAGGGTTCAGTTTTATACTCACTTGTTCTGTTGATTTTTTCTATTCCCTCCATGAGATTTTATTCTGGAATCCTAACTTTTCCCCGCCTCCTTGTAATATATCCTTAGTTTTATCTTATCTTCCTATCTTTTGATTTGATATTTTTCCCTGCTGCTGTCCCTTGAATTACTTCTGTCTCCTTGCTATGACCTGCCCCATGCTACTTTTGAACCCCTCCAGGCCCTTGAGAACCCAGACTGGTTCCAGTGTCCTAAGCTTCTTCTGCCTTTTAATGAAGATTTGGATTTAAATCAAATTCTGTGTTTCCAAAAAGGGATAAGGTAAAGCATATTCATATATTTTTTAAACAAATGATATTTGACTTTCTTCTTAGAAAATACAAAATGTTTGAATTATATTTCCCAAAGCAAAACAATTTATACATTCTAATTTGTTTGAGGACTTCATAGGGAAAATAAGCTAATCAGTAGCAGATACTTAGTCTCTTATTTTTAGAACTCTTAATCAATATCTTATGGCTTTCAAAAATGCTTTTAGTGAGCGCAGACATTTAGAAAAGGTTATAAATGGTCAAAATATTAGTTGAAATAAAATATTTGAGTTACTTAAATTCATGCTAAATTTTTTAAGTAAAAAATTAAAATATAGACTAAATGTCCCTTGCTTTTAAAGAACTTTCAAGAGAAAAGTGGTGAAAACAAATGTGAAAAAATAACGATAGCATGGGCAGAATGGGTCAGTAGCACATTTATGGATTAAGTGCACTGGCGGTCAGAGAAAAGAGAGATCAGATCTAGTCTGGTATCTTATCAAAGAAAGAAGGTAGAAATACAGAGGTATTATTTGAACTAGATTTTCCCAACAGATGAGAGACATTTCTGGAAAACACATAATCCAAGGGTGAGAAATTATAATCTAAACAAGTTTTGCACAGCTTGGTTGTAGGCCACTTTGCAACAAGTGAGGCAGTGGCGGAAAGGAAAGCTGGAGTTTAGCTGGATCAGAGCACAGAAGCTCTGGCATGTGAGCCTCAAGTCTCTATATTTGATTTAACTTGTAACATAAAAATTGAAAATTTCTAAGCAGAGAAATGACCAGCTCATGTACATAAAAGAACACTAATCTGGCAGTGATGTTTTAAATGGTCAGAGAAATCAGACCAAAAGCCAGAAGGCAAACTAAGGGGACGGTGCTAATAGTCCACATGAGAGGTGTCAAGTTAGAATGTGGCAGTGGGATAGAAAGCAGGACACATGGATGTCGACCAAAATGAACTGACAGCGCTTGGTGATTGGCAAGGCACAGAAGAAAAGGTTTAAAACAGTTCTGAAATTACATTCCAAGTGACTTGAGAGAATGACTAAAAAATGTATAGACATGGGAGGCTGAGGCAGAAGGATTGCTTGAGCCCAGGAGTTTGAGGTTGCTGTGAGCTAGGCTGACGCCATGGCACTCACTCTAGCCCGGGCAACAAAGCGAGACTCTGTCTCAAAAAAAAAAAAAAAATGTATAGACAGACTTTAAAAGATAAATGGCTTAGTGATGGAAGATAGTGACTTTATTACATAGCTTACGGCATATGTGGGGCCAGGGGATAGCAGGAGGCTTTTAAGAAAATGGAATACATGAGAAGGAAGTTAGAGCTCAAATTCGTAGAACTTAAGCATGAGGTGAAATAAATAAAAGAAAATAAATTCTAAGATACAGAAAGAAAAGCCAATGGATCAGTAATGGTTCATTCTTAAAGAAACCCAAAAAGGAGATGTAGAATGTGTTTTATTAGCAGCATAAAAAGTAACACCAACAGCTCAAAGACAAAGGATTGATGATTAATAGGTCATTGATAACTTTCAAGGGAACAATTTTGGTAAAGAAGTTAAGAGCAAACCACAATTCAGTGAATATGTAGAAGTCTTTTGAGAAGATAGGTAGTATAACAGAAGAGAACAAAAAAGCAGTATAAGAAATATGAATAATCAAGAACATGATCGTTTGGTCTAGGAGGGATCTAAACATTCTACTGGAAAGAAAGAAGATTTCTAGGGAGGGAAAGAAGGAGGTTGCAAAGGAAATAGGTGGTTATTGATGTTGCAAAGTGTTTCAATGAGGTAATAGGAAATGAATTGCATGCAGCAGGTCGGTCTGTGATCAGCTTCCAGGAGAAAATCAGGGAAAATGAAGATGGGAAGGAGAATAGAAATCAAAAAGAAGATAAAGAATCAGTTCAATAAGCACAATAGAGCAAAAGATGGAAAAGATATGGACAATGAGGCCACAGGAAAGAATTTTAAGAGCCAGGAATGCAAAAAATAGAACAGTTCTGAGACTCATAATTGTAAGAACAATTTTTGTACCTTTTTCAAAACAAAAGCTTGTACATGAGAAGAGCATAAAGGAGAATAAGGATCAGAAAAGATATCTTAACATATAGTTCTGATTCTCCTTTGAGTAATGTCATAATATGGACTAGAAGATTTCCCATGAAAAAAGAAAATAAACAATGATCATGTACTATGGAGACTGAGAACAATAAATCTTACCTCTCTCAGAGGATCATTGAGTTCACTGAGAATATTTTCCTCATCAAAAATTTTGCCTTGGTATCTGTGTTCATAGTAATCATGTATCTTCTGACGCATATCAGCTGGTAATTTATGGAATGACATATATTGTTCCACTTGCTTATACTGTAAGGAAAGAAAAAAGAAAATTAAGAAAAAACATTGTTAGGCTGAATGAGAAATCATCATATTACTTTGTTGTACTATATCCAATAATATTTGAATACTCAGTAACAAATAGAAGAAATTCTTGAAGAGAAGGAAATAATATACTAGGTCCTAATCTATGTACTCTGTGTCACATACCGTATAAGGCATTTTATTTAGGTAAATATTTCCTATAAAGAACTGTGATGTGGAGAGTCTGAAAGGAGTTCAGAGTGAATTTAAGGGTATAGTTCCAAAATAGCCAATAATGGGGCAAAAAAAAAAAAATGTGATGCTATAATTTTTAGTTGAATTCTAAAAAACTACCTCTTCCTTTTAGCTGTTTAGCTCTTCATTTGGGGAAGAATCTTGTACCTCTGGATAGTACAAAGGATTTAACTTAGACCTACCAAAAGATCAGAATCTAATTAAATTTTGAATCTAGAGGCAGAGGGCTTGGCAGCATTTTGCGTATAACAGATACTTAAACAACACAGATACCTGTAAAGTACTGAGAGCTAAAAGAGTATGTCAGGCTTCCAATTTAGGATTTAGGGGAATATCAGGGTGAGACTAGATCTACATAGTATTGTGGCTGAAAGTTAAGTTAGACATTGAAGTTTATTTAAGCAAGTAGTTCTTAAACTTGATGGTTCATAAAAGCTGAGCAGGGTGTTGCTTTTTTGGGAAGGCAGCTCTTCAGGCTTAATCCTAGAAATTTACTCTATTGATGTATCTACCTATTTTTATTTACACACACACACATACACAGAGTTGTTTTTTTTAATCATTCCTGCTAATTAGCAGAATCATAGGAGTTTGGATATTACCTGGGTGCCTATTAGAAGAGAAGAATTTCAGTCCTCACCCCAGACCTATGGAATCAGAATCTACATTTTAAAAAGATCCTCCAATGACTCTCATATACTATATAATATGTACATTGAAGTTTGAGAAATAGCCCTCAGGTCTTTCTAATGGAGGTGGTCAGAAGACCACAAACAATTTCAAATAAAATAATTAGATTCTAAAAATTAGTTTCATTGTATAGATGATAGAATTAAGTACAAATTAAAAAGTAAGTAATAAAACTGGATAAAGATACTGTAATATGAAGTACTGTATAGGGTAGATAAAAAACAAAGATACTGGAATACATTTCTTTCCTTAAGTAAACACACATGGTACTTTATATATGGAAAAGATTTTCTCGAATCTTTTCCTGATAATAGAGCTCTGACTAGAAGATCTGGCTTTTGTGAATCCTTGTCCATAATTACTATAATTGTAATTGGTAAATGATAGCAGACCTATCTAATGAGAAACAGCAACCCATTCTATTGTATTTCTCCTGTTTTTTCCCTGCATACTTTCCTTATGCATATTGTTTGGACATTCCCTTTGGGAGACTAGTAACCTCAAAGGAAATACCACTTTGTTACCTGACTTTCTTTATTTGGTAATCAGATTGTTCCCAAATTTTTTAAAGCCTGAAAGCATATATATGCCTCTTTGAAGTAACTTGATTATGATATAGCATTTTGAATGTAGGCATCAGTCACTGCCATTGTGTGAAAGCTACTTCTGGTAAATATTTCAGAAGGATTGGGTCGGTTTTCCCTGGAGAGCTCAAAATCTCTATGCCAACCTAACCTCAATATGTTTTGGTAGCCCACATCTAGAGGCCTAGGATTCAGACTGCTTAGGCCCTTATGCAACTGGTCCATAGAAAAGAAGCTTCAGGGCCTTCTCTACAAGACCACTTTGCAGGGTTAGGCTGCTTTGCAGCCGGACTAGAAAAGCTTATCTTTATTTCTGAAGATGTTGTTTGTGTCTGGTTATTACTCTTGGCTAAAAGAGAGAGCCATGGGCTTTGTAGTGTAGTTTAGGGTCTGAAGCTCCACTGGAGATCCCCAAGGTTAGTTTCTGCACTGATGGTTTTTTAACTAGCCCATCTGGTTTGACTAGTCTGGCTTGATGATTTAAAGAGCCAATGACAGCTTTATTTCTAAGATCTCCCAAAACTAAGATTCCTTGCATAGATCTCATTGGTTCAAGCCAGAAACTCAGAATACTCTAGTTTCATGAGATTGGGCCCACAGGAAACTCATGCTGTGGAAAGGCTCTTGGACTTCTGATGCTTGTCTGTATTCTCTCTCTTTTGCTGCATGTTATCCTTTGCCTTTAAATAAAAGCCTCAAGTGAGTATGGTGGAGTGAAGTTTGGTGAGTCCTGTCAAACATCCAAACTTTGGAAAATAGGGAAGCAGCTTAAGACAACAGGACTGCCACAGTTCCGACATTCACTGGTAAGCATAGATGGATAAGCTCTCAGTTCTGGCCAAAGGATTAACCTTTCTTTAGGACCAGTAGGTGTCAAGTCATGTCTGTGTTCTTTCCTCAACATGCTGCTTGCCCCCATATGCTTGGAGTGGTGAGAATCTATAACCTTAATCAACACATTGAGCCCTACAATTCTCCTTTCTTTGCCATCTATTTCAGGGGTATGAGGAGCAACATTAAAACTTAGTATTAATAGTAATTTATTCATTTTTGGGTAATTGATGCTTGTGAGTAGGCAAAGGCCCATCTAGGGAAAATGTAATCTGCTCTATCTCCATCTCAAAAATTGGAAGTTATCCTTGATTCGCTAAATATAAATGTTATATATACAGTTATTTTTATGGAAACTCAGCATTGATTGACTCTAATTACTTTTCCTGACACAAGTCATTTAACACCTCTAGACCTCAGTTTATTAACTTACAAATAGGAGGATGTTAGAGTGAATGATCTTCCTTGTTCTTTCAGATTAAAGTTTTAAAGTTCTATGAATATTTGTCATTTAATCATATTAAGTTTGATTTTTGAGCCTATGTTACTGTCTTAACCATCCATCAACTCATAGTAATTATTAAACCAACAAGTATTAAATGATTGTTGTGTGCTAATGGTTCTCAAGGTGTGGTCGCCAAACCAGTTGTTTCACCTAGGAGCTTGTTAGAAATGCACATTCACAGTTGCCACCCAGACCTACTGAATCAGAAACACTACATTTGGGACTCAGCAGTCTGTGTTGTAACAGGCCCTCTATACACTAAAATTCAGAACCACTACTATATGCCAAGTACTGTGTTATCTTAGGACATAAAGAAGCATGCTTGAGTGAGTGCAGGAGAAAGAAAACAAATTCAGGTTTTGGCAAGTTAAGTTTAAGATGCCCATGTTACTTCCTAACGCTTATATGTAGGTCAGGCACTCAGAGAAGGAAATATGCACGTCATCAATGACTAAGGGATTCCTAAGGGAGGATGTGTCAAGTGAGAAGAAGAGGCAAACAGTAGAATACATATTTTAAAAGCAGTTGGGTCATGGAGGTTGATCAAGTTAAGGGTACTGTTAGTAACCAGCAAGATGTGAGAGCAGAACCAGAAAAACGTAATTAGTAGAATCCGAAGAAGAATAAAGTTTCAAGGGTGGTGTTGTCAAAAGGAATATATCCTAAGAAAAGAGGTACTGAACAGTGGCCAGTGAATTTGGAAATTAGGTAGTAATCTTTGTTAGAGTACAGAACATTAAAAATAGGAACTGTATCTTTTTGTCTGTTTCTTTCACACCTAACAAGACTTGCAAGAATGTATGAAAATATCACTTCCAAGTTACATGGAGAAATAAAAATAACAGACTACTCTTTGAAGAAGCTACCTAGTGGTAGTTGGACAATGTAATAAACTAGATATTAGATGTTTTATATATATATTTTTTCAATCTTTATTTGCCAATTAATATTTTTAAATTAAAAAAACTAAAAATGGAAATAATTTATTCACTGAGCAAAATGTCCATTGAATATTTCTGACACAAAAGCTAACCTTAGCTGTTTGGTGCTGTGGGCTTGCTATAAACTGAATGATGCAGAAAAACGTAGAAATAGCTACACACATTATGCATAAGCTGGAAAAGTCAAAAAATGATAACATGGCAAAGTTTCTATTAGTTGTAATAATATATCATATGAAAAAGAAGATATACATTTAATAGTACTGATAAGTAGATTTTTGAAAAGCACAGATGCAAATACAATTCTTTCTTAAACATATAAGATAAAAAATTTCTACCATTAGATCTAAAGAGACTATAAAAAATTACCACTTAAAATTCTAATATATTTTTATTTTTGAAATTCCATATGATTAAAAGAATATATGAAAGTGATACATGTACATATTTATTAAAAGTAAGATATAACAAGAATATTTATAATGAATGGCAAGGATCCACTTTCAAATCTACCAGTCTTACCCCTCCCATGTTAAAAGGTGTTTAATCCATATCACTAAGCAATATGCTTCTGTTTCTATTTATTATGTAGAGTAATTATTGGCATCAGTTATTTACTTCTTGCCATAAAAAGGGGTTTAGCCACTTATAGACTCCCAAATCTCTTCTTTTTTCATGTTATAATTGTGTCACTAGGTCTGTGTTGTAACTTTATGCAACATATTTACTTTTATTTCTTGTTAGGAGAAATCTAGATCTTTTAGCAGGTGAAAGTAACAAATTCCCCTTTTCACTTTGATTTGCTAACTTCTGTCATCTCTACTTTTACAATGTAATGGTAGAGTATAACTTTTTACCCATAATTGTAACTTCCAAACCCTTGAAATATTTACATTAATCTGACCATGTAAATATTTACCTCAAAGCCAAATACAATATTTGATGAAATTTCCTTTTGTTTCCTGGACTTTTAGATTTTATTTTAGTCTCACATTTTCCAGCCTCCTTATCCCACCAGATAAACATTGAGTTTTTCCTTCAGAGATTTTCCTGTAGGATTTCCTTTTACAACATCCTTGGTTGGACTCACTACTCTTAGATGCCATGTTTCTCTTCTGGTGTATTTATTCATGTTTCTGGAACAAATACTCAAATAAACAAATAAGAAAAATTGTGAGGGATATGGGTTTTCTGAATCTT